TACAATAGTGAGCAGCATCACCACAGAACTATTCCTGTCTCTTATACACATCTAGATGTGTATAAGAGACAGGTGACAAACTGTTTCGTCGGATTTTCACATATATATATATATATAGAGAGAGAGAGAGGTTTCCATCGACAGGATGAGCAACGCACCGGCCAACAGGTAAGTCTCCAACCCCGCGACTGGCCCTACGCTACTTCCATCGATAGGATGAGCAAAGCCCCGGAAGCACCCCTCCCAGCACCAGGTTACAAGGTTGCATAAGGGGGAGGTGTGTGTGTGTGTGTGTGAGAGGGAGAGAGAGAGAGAGACAGTGAGAGACAGAGAGAGAGAGAGAGACACTCTCCTTTTTTTTGGGGGGGGCGGGGGATTTTCCAAGTACTCCCATAAGTTCAGATATACGTCAAAATGTCCCTAAAAGATATGGGCACAGTGGCATGACCTTTCGGGCTGACATATGTGTGTTATCCCCCTGTTAGATGGGTGTGCAAATTCGCTTCGCCTTTTGCAATTCCCAAAGTTGGGCAGAGTCCGGTAGGGGTACATTGCAAAGATGTGGTCCAACTGATGGCTGGGGTGTTTCGCAAAATATTTTTGTCATCGTCCTTCGCCGCAGCGTAGCTGCGGCAGGTCCACTTGTTTATTGGAATGAAAAGGTTGGAGGAGATAAGGAGGTTGAAGGTGAGAGTTAGGGGGATTCGGCAATGGACTTTGCTCGTGTACATCTTCTTCTTCTTCCGTTCTCTTTCTTCTTCTTCCTTTGTCTATTTCTCTTTCCAAGTTCTCACATTTCAGTTGAATGGCATTGTCTTTCTTTGAGCTATTGCACTACAAATAGCCAGGATCATAACACCTTTCAAACCATTTCTTAGGGCTTTTCTCTAGCTAGGGTGAGTATAGGGCAACACACAGAGGGTTGGGGAGCTGTACCTGCAAAATGCCGGCGATGCTGAACTTGCCAGTCTGATGGAGAATGAATCCGGTGGTAGTCTCCAGGGGCTAGGTAAAGGACACAATAGTATAGTTTCTTCGCCCCTCTGCATCAGTTCCCCTCATCCTCACCGCCAACCCCAAACCGCAACCCCATATCCCCACCCCTCCCCTTCCCCCGTTCTCTCCCGCATCCAAACATCCATAATTCCTCTCCACACAAGCACACACACACACGCACACACACCATCACCTCAGCAAGGGTACACAATTATGTTTTCTCCTGCCAAGGAGCGACCAAGCCGTCACTCCAAGCAAAGAACAAGGGTACCTGTTGCGGCTTTGCTTGCAAAAAAATGAAGGAGAGAAAAAAATTAGAAAAAAATTAGAAGTGGAGGTATTGTTGGGGGGAGGGGAGGGGGGGTTGAATATGAGGCTCACCTGTGCAACTCTTGTTGACGCAGTTGATGCATTGCTGCTGGAGCTCATAAAGCCTTGGAAAGGCTGTCTTTTTTTTCCTGTTCTTTTCTTTTATGCTTTCAACATTTGCATTGGATTTACCTGAGAGAGACCTGTTGAGGCTGAAGGGTTTGGTGGGTTAGTGGTAATCGTTAAAAACAGGTTCTCGATGGACCACAGATCAGATATGAAACTGATGGGAACAGTTACTACACTCGATCATGTTCTTTTTTTGGGGGGGGGCCTTGGAAAGGCTGTTCTTTTTTTCCTGTTCTTTTCTTTTATGCTTTCAACATTTGCATTGGATTTACCTGAGAGAGACCTGTTGACGCTGAAGGGTTCGGTGGGTTAGTAACTTAGTGGTAACCGTTAAAAACAAGGTCTCAACGGACCGCGGATCAGATATGAAACTGATAGGAATAGATACTACACCTGATCGTGTT